AAGGCAAAACCAAATACGGCGATCTTCTTATCGGCTACGGTGTTGAACAGCTCAACAATGATCTTGTCAGAGAATCGACGGCGTTGCCATTTATTGATTTCAATAACCTACAATATTTTTATTAGATGATGAATTCCGTTGAATCGTAAAATTCTGCCAGACTTGCATTCAAATACGATCCCTCAGGCCCGTTCTAATTGAAATAAGATGGAAATGAAAATTTTTTGGCAAAGGCCCATGGATTGAGCTGAACTGCTTTGAAGATGGGACCGAAAAGCCGGCCCATATCGGCTCAGGTTGCTTTGATGCGGTTTTATAAGAAAAGGGCAAGAATATTCAACGTTGAACGGTAACTACACTTACTCCCATCCAGTAATCGGCAACTTTCTGAAGATGAAGTGATTCACTCAGGTACACCAATGAAAGGACATCCTTTTGAATGCAGCTGCCACCGAATCCTTCAAATAAATATGACTGCAATTCATATATAAATGGGAAATAAATAAGCATGATCACAACATAGAAGATTGAACAGAGGTAGTGCTGTGTAGGGGAAAATTAGATGTGGAAGAGGGTGCAAAAACTACGTTGCTTGACCCTCAGATAAGTCAGTCCCATACCGGCCATCATCAGTGATGATTCATTAGAACATTGCTTGTCGCTGACTCCTACACTGGGTAATCCCATAATTCACCATATGAACAGATTCAATCTCAAAGCACTACATAAACTTCCTTATTTAGATTCAATGGTGTGAAGGAAAATTAGATGCATGGCGCATCCCAGTCGAAGATGACTCATTCTACAGTTTCCTCCCATCCATTCCGGTGCCGTTACACTCTCGAACCGAGAAAAGGACCAAATGAAGACTGCAGACTTCCAAATAAATCCTTGATTGCATTCCCCTTTAACTACCCAGCCGTACAGCTCTGACGGTACGTTACTATGAAAAATGAATATATAAATATTGAAAGGAAAGCAATGCTGACAACCTCCATTTTGGCTAATTTACAACATTTTCTTAACGAGAGTTAGGAAAATCCCCATATGCGGCCAGACCCAAAGTAAGACAATTAAGCCATGCACGTGTAGCATTCGAGGTAGGCGAGAGAGTTCCCACGAAGCAAATCCTTACCCACGCTGGCTTGCAGGAATTTGTTCCCGATCCGCGAATCGAAGCCGATCGCATGGGCGACCTCTTGAACATCGGCTCCCGTTGCTTCACAGATTGCTGATATNGAGAAAACGATCAAATCTCAGACCCACGGACTTGAAAATCAGGAGTAACAGCAACTTACCAGTTTGGATAGTTCAGAACTCCAAGTATTTGTGGTGATGATTCGATCTCGTGGTACCCAGTGCTCATAGATTCGCACCAACTCGGCAACAGCGGCCGCTCCTATAGACATTTTCAATAATTCTCGGCCATCCAGATCGATATCGTCTTTATGATCTTTTCGATTTTTGCGACTGCTGAGGTCCTGCCGATTACATATTTTCTTCAACCAAAATTGTTAGTAACAAACGCTGAGTTGAAGTTAACAGATAATGACCTCTCATGACTTCTGAGAAAACATAACTGCTGAAAATCTACAATGTTCCGCCTAAAATTCCATATATTTGATGTTCTGCTCACCACCAATTTACCGTCTTTTCTCGTCTTTCGTAGAGGTTCTCGCTCACAACACTCTTTTTTCCATTTGTCATTTTCCCAGAATTTTCACCCTTTCTACTGAGTACCCTTGGTGAGGCAGATATAGTGACAAGCGAGATCTTATATTGAAAACTATCATATCCACATCGGACACTTGAGGTACACTTGACAGTTCATGCTTGGGAAAGAAGGTGCTTTCGCATCTGTTGCACTCTCGTGCGCGTTGACTGGGATGGCATCTTCTAGCACCTGACGAAGTTAAATCAGATCTTCATTCACCACGAAACTCGTTCCTCTTCCTAAGAGCTATACACATTTTTCACAAAAACGCTATTATTTATTTTTGAGTGAACTCTGAGTGGGGAGAACTGCAGATAATGGCACGATAACAAAATCTGAATTGATTGCTCAAAAAGTCAAATTCTGAAGTCATTCCAGCGACTTTCCCGTTGGTGCCACATCGGGGACAAAAGTCGGAGTGGCAAGGAGAGATGGGAGGGAGGGATGGGATGGGGGCTAGAACGCTTCTGTCGTTGCTCGCGTAATTCACCCAGATAGGTACATTACTTATTAGTTTGGGGACTTTTATTATACTTGCTATTTTGGGTCTCGTGTGAATGTGTTAAGGTCTGCAGTAGTAAGCTCTTGAAAAATTTTCTGAAACTCTCTTGAAAGGGCCTTGTGCTGCCCAGACGCCGTACAGGTGGGTGGACACTGTAAGTGGCAGAAATATTGGTTTCCGTTCCTGTTAGGAACCCACACACCAGCCACTTATGCTTTTAAGAAAATAACATACCTACAGGTGAGGTTTCTCCGCCAATCAATACACGATCCGGATTGGACAGATCTCCGATGGCTGTTCCTTCAGCTAGAAATTCTGGATTGGATAGCACCTAAACTTTGAATGAACAAAAACCCGATGAAGGGCTATAATTTATATGAGAAACAGCTGTTCTTCAGGTCGTATATGTAGGAGTGATAATGGCCTAGTGTGCTCAAAGGACAAGAAGTTGAGTACAATTGAAATATCCGCTCATGCCGTATTTAAGGGTTGAAGCGGATTTTAGCTCAGTTCAAATATAGTACAGGAAGGTAAATGCACTGCAAGAAATCGAGCTTCGATAGAAAGGTCAGTGTTGAACAAGTTTGTAGGTGTAGAGGAACACATGATGGCAAAAAATCGCAGAAGCAAAAACCAGTCAAATTGAAAGAGCCTATCTTAGGATGACATGATCTGCTTGCTCTTCAAACAGGAGCAAAATCTCAGAATGTACGTAAGCAAAATGTCGAAAATCGAAAGATCTTTCCTAATACTCCTCAACAATCACAACCGTTGTTAGAAGGTTTTCGCTTCAAAGGTATCACAAAAAAGCTGAAAACTAGTGGGTTTTCGAAATGTATCTAAACTCGACTATTACTGTCTGTTTGAATTGGTAATAGTCTGAGGGCGCTGAGGTTGACTTGAATCACCCAGAACTGACCCATCTGAACTTTGCCAACCATTTTGCTTGCCTCCTCGGCAGAAAGTTTCTCCTGATCAATTGAAAAGTCCACTCGAGATCAGTCGCCCATGTCACTTTTTTTAACGAGTGAACCTTACTGATATTATGCAAGAACACCCATGCCGTTTCAATTCTGAGCAAATAGGAAATCTTAGTTACAGCTCATGATTTCTAGCGAACTCTCAGCAAGAAGAAGTAGAAAGACTATCAAAATCATTGAAAGTCAGAATTCACGAAAAAAAATTCGCTCAAAAGTTATACTTCTTAGAGGAAGGCAGGGATTATAAGAACGAAGCTCTTATGAAAAGCTATCAGAACAAAAGCGATTTCGGCTAGACTAACCTAGCCACGAAGAGAGAAAAAGGACAAGCTGCAAAATTGACAGCTGCTTGAAGAGCTAAAATCGAAAATGCTAAGCAAAAACGGAAAGTGTAAGGGCGTTCCTGACTCAAAAGTGGAAAAAGCTTATTGGCTTCCTACTACTAAATCAACCAATCGATCTACATTTTCTGGTAACACTGTATTAGTGCTTGAATTAAAATGGAGCCTCTTCCCACTTCAACAGGGAGGAAGGTTGATGACTAATCAATAACTACTGTTTCCTTTGATTGATTCAGTTACCCTTGTAACTTTTTTTACTTTCTGACGAGTGCCGTGTCCGCTGGAGCCCACTGCCGTTGCATGTTATTTTTGTTTTAAAAGATGATTTATATACCCACTATACATGCTACAGATAAACAAACAATCAAAGTATTGGAAAGAACAATTGATAACTCAGGAGTCCTGAATCAGAAAAATAATTACAGGATATGAAGGATTATTCCAGGATATTTCAAATGAGGATGAGGTTAGAATTTAAGAATCAGTAGCTATAGGTCGGTCCCGTATAATAATGTTAGCGGCACTACATTACTTACTAATAAGCCCTTCAAATAAGAATCACAGAAAATCAGAAAAATAGAGAAACCACTGAGTCTCGTTCAGAGAAAATGCCAATTGAAAAAGTAGAAGCAACAGAGTCAGGTTATCATTCTATCGGATGAGGTTTCCTAATGCATGCACTGTACAAAATTCTGTATAATCAATGCAATTTTAAATAACCCGAAGTTATTTAGATAATAACGGAAAAGCACAAAAAACAAAGAGTATCGCGCTCAAGAAGCTACAACTAGCAAAAACCGTGGAGGGAAGACCCGCAGACGAAGTCCGTTTCACAAAAAAAGCCACAGACGACAACGTGCTCCATGAAGGCAATGGAAGTCTGAAACTCTGAAAATAAACTTATCAGTAACATCATTTTTTAAGTTTCCTTCGATATAGAAAGTGGAAGATAAAGAAGAAACATCATGAAGGAATTAAGAGATAAGTGAGTCAAACGACTTATCACCTCTACCTTAATTGTTCTTCGATGGTCGCCATAACTTCCCCTTCAATTGGGGTTCCGCATATGACTTTATTTTAAGGGCGGCTGTCCGTCGTGGTCTCACCTGCAAGTCTTAGATGAACGAATGAAAAGCTTTGCAGTGATGAACATATCCATCATGTGAAACATATAGAACTATCTTGAACGCTTACTCATGAACTTGACTTTTTGCAGATTTTATTTTATTTTATTTTATTTATTTACTTGTGCACTCATTGGTGCGCTACAAACTACTCAAACATGACCTAGATCTTGCCAATGCCTATGGGAACACGCTTTATATTTTCTATAACCACGAATATAAAAATTTATTGCTCCCACTTAAACTCACTGATTTGAGATTGGCTGGATGTAATAAGATGAAGCACAAACTAGTTGCACTAATAAATAGTCTCAGGGATATGAGGGGACGATAGGCTATTTCGTAGAATTCACATTGTCAACAATGGCTTCAATCGCTACGACTAATAGCTCACTACCTCACCTCACTAACCTTACATTATTTCCAAAGAAGATAAAAACCATTGGATTAGCATTTAACCTGACAGAAAGAGTAGACAAAACAGACCGTGTCGTTAGCTGCAGCAAGTTTAGCTTCCAATTTCACAATAAGCACTTCCTTCGCTCTCAGCTTCTTATTTAAAGCATCCGCCTCACGTTGGATCTCCTTGTTTATTTTCAGCTGAGACTGGAACGAGTAGCCTCAAGAACGATTAGAGTTTCGTTAAGATATACCAAACAACAAACTTCTATCGATTCTTTTAGAGTGAGCTTCTCTGCTTCGTCTGCTTGAATAGAAGAGATGAGTCGCTCGCGTTCTTCAGCCATACTAATAAGCTTCGCCTCCATTCGTTTTACAGTTGATTGCAAGTCATCAGCCTCACGGGCCTAAAGATAACGTTGTAGTGCTACGAAGGCCATCGCGGTGATCAAATTTGGGATCAAATCTAATATGATAATTGGAAGGATTACTAACTAATTTAAAATTGCATGAAAGTACGATGTGCTTTGGTGCGACCGAGTGTGCAACGTATCCGTCATATATTCCAGTGCATAGCAGAGGCACTTGAACGCATATACAACCCATACAATGACTTGTAGGGCTGTAGGGAGCAGATAGCATTCATGCTCTTGTTTTCATTTCTTTACACAAGTTCTAAGTGGGTAGGGAGAAATGGTTCAGTCAAAGCCCTTCACCTTTTGAGTCCTGCACGATTCTAATCCACTTGCAATATCTAAGATGCTTAGATACAACGCCCTAAGACCGTGTGTAAACACAGGCAAGTACTTTTTCAACCGATTCATTTCAAATACACCTCGCCCTCTTTTCTAAAAAACAATACATTTCTATTCTATAAACTTACCTCACCAACAATCGATCGCAATCGACTAGTCTCTTTTGTTTGCGGCCGAATTTGTTCTTGCAGCTCTTTCATGCTTTTTTGATAGAGAGGGGAATCTACAAAACCAAAAAAGTAAATTTGAAAAGATAGAATGGATGCGCGCAAAGGTGGTTACCTCCTCCTTCATCGTCTCGCGCAGTTTCTACTGAGGAACATTCGGTGGTATTTTGCGCCATAGAGATATCAAGCCGGAACGATGTTTCATTCAATGACTGCTCCCAAGCCGATAACTCAGTCTGCACTCCATTGACACTGACAACAGTTTCTGTAAAGATGACCAATCTTACCCATGTAAGAGAATGATAAAAGTCATATTCAGGGCCTGTTGAATTGGGACGATTCAAGCAGTACCTTCGATGGTGTCCATCACTACACGCTTTTCCTCGATGGCAGTATCCCATTCAAATTTCATTGCACGAATTCTGTCAGCCAAGCTTCTCATTTCTTCTGTTCCAGATCCGAGCTGCAAACATAGGAACATATGAACTGAGCAAAGCAGGTGAAAGAATAAAAAAGCATCCACTGACTAATTCCAAGACGTCTTCGAACAAGATTCCTGAACTTTTGAGAACCTCGAACATTCGGTGCATGAAATCACGAAGTAAAACAAGTTTTGTCTAAATGCATCCCATTTTTTAAATTCTGATAAATAGGAAACTCAGATTGTGAGTTAGATTCTGGCTTTTTTAGTTGTTACATTGAAAACCTACTTTCAATGTAACTATCTCTTTCGATGTGTTCATAGAGCGACTCATAAGGTCCATCAACGAGGTGTTCATCTGAAAAAGAGGAATTCAGAGAGTCGACGCAGAGAATAACGTCCACCCGAAACATCACCATGGGCAATCGCGTCCCCATTAAGCGAACGAGCATGAACTTACCATTGACTGAGTGATATTTCTTTCCGTCGCAAGGAGGCGTCTCCGTTGTTCTTCCGACATTCTTCAATCATACACAACCATTCATTATCAAAAAGAAGAGATGTCTATGAAATTAGAAAAACCCCAATCTCAACGAATTAGTGTACCACTACACCGAACATTTCTTCTAGGCAGAACAGGCTAATGAGAACAGTAGTACTGCTTTACAAGATCGTAGAGAAAAGAAGAAACAAGCTTACATATCACCCTCGGAACGTGTGGTCCCGTCGCTATCATCGCCCTTCAAATCATCAATGCTAGTGGATAACTGGTCGAGCTTGGCGATCTCGGATTTCAACATTCTGACAAATCCTTTGTGCTGAAATTTAATTTTAAAATTCTACAAGCAAACAGCGAGTTTAATTCTTCGAAGGTGCAACATACTTGCTCAAGTTCATGCATCGCTCTCTGACACTTTGCCTCAGACTCATGTAGCTCCCTCTGTAGTGCCTCGATCTTCGGCTGAGCCCCAACCTCAATGCGCTCCATTTCATTAGGTTGATGCATAATTATTGCGGATTTTTTCGCGACTTTTTTACTCTCGATAGAATTTGAAGATTGAGTTTGGGTTTTCTCTAGAAATGATCTACTTGATTTCCTCTACAAGAATAATCACCAGCAGGAATCTTTATGGATTATCTCGTCAACCGTTGTCAACCGTTCATCGAAAAAAATGGCTAGAGAACAGAAATTAAGTCGATTTGGATGACTTGATGGTCGATGTCAAGGCGTGGGTCGCCCGTAAGGATCAAAACTTCTTCGCTTTTGGGATCCAACTAACTCATCAATGGGAAGCAGTGCTTGACGTAGATGGTTAATCCGTTTCGGAGTAATTACTGGAATGTCTTTGCTTAGTATTTCTATAGTTTCTTTAGGTAAAATTTGCTGGAGAAAATCCGCAATAATCATGCATCAACCTAATAGTATACCAGTAGTATTTACTGTTCTTTCGCCACGTTTATAGATAAAGTGAAAAAAACTACCATGTTTTCGATCGCCCGAACTTGAACTTCTCGAGCTTGAGCAGTTTTCAACTCTGCATTCTTGCATTGTTCGTTATAAAGTTTATTCTGAAAAAAGAGAATGTTATGAAAGGAAACATTAAGAGCCTCGGAATCGAACCTTTAAAGCGACAATCTGTTCTCCGAGTTGTTTATTGTCCGCGAGAACCTGTGCAAGTAACATTTTATATGGACGAGGAGTTTCACCCAAAGGACTACAAATGTTTCCAGTAGATGTACCTGAAATAAAAAACTTTTACAAAAAAAAAACATATAACTTCCATATGGAACACGTACTCGTAGATATGGTCGCGTCCTCAGTTTCGAGGCTGCTCAGACTGCTGGTATTGTTTATGGTTTGTTCATCACTCGTGTTAAAATCCATGTTTTGCTAAGAAATGCAGCAATTCAAGCCTATAAAACCCTCGAATTACAAACAAAGGGAGAAGAATGAGTTTGAGGGGAAGTCTA